ATGATAAAAGCTAGACTGGACTACTGCACTGACCTGTTCTTTAAATTTAAAATCAGAATCCAAAAACACCCCAAGATTTCTAACAGACACAGGGTCCAGACAGAGGGTCCAGTGGTCCAACAGCACTACTGCATCCTGTCAGTTTATCAGAGTTACCGAATAAAATGACCTCTGTCTTTTAAATAGTGTAAAGAGGACTAATTCAATGCCACAGGCATCACACAGGACATTTTTATGGAGTCCCATTACCATTTTTTAGGCAGATGCGTAAGTTGTGCCCAGTTAGAATTCCAATCAGTGTGCAGTGTTAGTATTCCTTGTCGGGTGATGAGAGCATTCTCAAGCAGAAGATTTGTGCCATTAATCAGTTTATGTGCAGTCAATTAGCTCCTTCCAGTGGTCTTAGTGTTGACATGTAATCCAGGCCTGTAGGGCTGTTCTGCTCCAGGGAGATCCATTTTTAGTCTCTGTATGAAAACTTGGCTTAAAGTTGTATTTTTTGACCATCCAGTCTCCACGTCTTGCATTACTGGAACAGCAGCAACTGCCCAGTCCCAGATTCTTGTGTGCTATGAATCAGATAGGCTTTTCCACCTACCAGATTGGCATAACCTCACTGCATTGGATATACACTCTAAGAAAGGAAATGATGAGAAGACATGTTTATTTTCCATTTAAACATAAAAACAGCATTGTAATAACAACTAAATGTGACACAGATACTTTATTATTATAGAATTTAAATATACAGTACAGAACAAATGTTTGGACACATCTTCTCATTCAAAGAGTTTTCTTTATTTTCATGACTATGAAAATTGTAGATTCACACTGAAGGCATCATAACTATGAATTAACACTTGTGGAATTATATACTTAACAAAAAAGTGTGAAACAACTGAAAGTATATCTTATATTCTAGGTTCTTCAACATAGACYCCTTTTGCTTTGYRGACTGCTTRACACACTCTTGGCATTTTTTATATCTTCTGACAGACTCTCTGATTGTGGACTCTCAGAGACTGACTGTGAAGTTGTGGCCTCAGCTCTGAAGTCCAATCCCTCCCATCTCACAGAACTGGACCTGAGCCTCAATAACCTGCAGGATTCAGGAGTGAAGATTCTGTCTGCTGGACTGGAGAGTCCAAACTGTAAACTAGAGAAGCTGAGGTGATGTAAAAGACAATTTATTTTTTATAGTAAATTCAGTTTCAAATTTTACTTCAGTTTGACCTTTTTAATTTATTTATTTTGGGGATTTATCTGACTATCAAAGCAAAGATTTTTCATTGTTTCCAGTGGTGTGAAGAAATGTGTTGATTTGTGTCCAAAGGGCCTCTCCCTGGGCTGCCACCTTATCGTGGTGGAGAGTTTTGCATGTCCCAATGATCCTAGGAGCTACGTTGTCAGGGACTTCATGCCCCCAATAGGGTCACCCAAGGCAAACAGGTCCTAGGTGAGGGATCAGACAAGGTGCAGCCCAAAGACCCCTATGATGTGTGCAACAGATGGATTTGGAGTTCCCACACCTGGTCCGGGTCACTGGGCCCCCACTCTSGATCCAGGCCTGGAGGGACTCCAGGGCTGGTTCAGCCTCACCTTCATGTGACTCATCACCCACTCAATCTACACCTTCGCAGTTACCAGAGTTCGAAAGTCCAGAGTTCTGGAGTTCAACGTTTGACCCTTACTGCCCTGAGTTCGAACCAGCTCAGCACTTTGGTTGGCCTTGTGCTGTTTAAAGTGCTTTATAAATAAAAGTGGTATGGTATGGTATGGTACTCTGTGCCTGAGTCAATTTCTACATCTGTAGAGTCTCCTAGTCCCTCATCCATGTTTCCACCATCTGATACATCATCTTCATCACCTTCCATGTCCGCTAGTTCACCATCATCATCTTTGTCATCAGAACCTGTCTGCCAGCCATCAGTTCCTGTCTGTGAGTCTTCAGTTCCTGAATCTCCTGTACCATCATTATTGTCACCTGTTCCTGCTCTGCTGCCATCATTGATGCTTATTCCTGCTCTGATGCCATCATCAACATCTGGTCCTTCTCTGCCATCATCCTCATCACCTGTTCTTGCTCTGCCATCATCTTCATTGCCTATTCGGCTCCAGTTCCTGAGTCCCCGGGTCTGCCTGTTCCTGAGTTCCTGGGTCGGATTGTGAAATTCCAGGGTCTGCCTGTTCCTGAGTTTCTGGGTCAGACTTTGAAGTTCGCGGGTTCGACTGTGTTACCTGAGAATCCTGAGTCTCTTGAACTTCCTGAGTGTTCTGAACTTCCTAAGACCGGTGCCCAAGTCTCTCCTGGCTGTTGTTCCTGGATTTCTGCCGGCCTCTGTTCCTGCTCCTGTCCCCATGTCAGACTCTATTCCTGCTCCTCTGACTCCACCAGCCTGACAGGTCCTGAGCCATCCTTGCCTCGGCTGAGCTCTGGGCCAACCACCTGAGATCCTGCTTTGTTACAGCCGAGCCCTGGGCCAACTTCCTGAGAACTTGTCTTGTTACGGCCAGGCTCCGGGCTGCCATACAGAGTTCCAGCTCCTCCGATGTTTGCTTCCTGCCCTGGCTTCCTCCCGTATGCTCCCATGCTTGTTTTGTTTTGCTTTTTGATGCCGCCATGTGGGCCTTATGCTCCTCGTGCTAGTCTGCATTTTGGGTCCAAAACCTCACCCAACCTTTTAACAACTGTTTCAATACAATACAATACAATACAATACAACACAATACAATACAATACACAATATTCATGTTGAGCTGCCCATGGAAACCAGAATACACCTGAAGGGGTTAGAAATGATTTTATTTACCGTATTTATTCAAGTATAATACAGAAAAATTAATGCATAAAATCATCCATAAAGTTGGGGGGTAATATTATACTCGGAAAAATATTTTTACTTGAACTGAAATATCGGCAAAATGCCTGAGTCCGGAAATGAGACCGTGGCATAAAAAGCAGTTCAAACGAGCTCACCTGTGACACTCCTTTGTGCTTCAGAGCGAGATAATAACAGATCCAGGCAGGTGACATGATGTGAAAAAAGGGGAAAAAAGCAGTCCTTCACCTTAGTAATGATAACAAACTAATGACATTAGCGTGTGACCGAGCCGCTCCTGGAACAACAACAACCACATGTTCATCTGTAATGGCTGCCGTCTACGGTGTTCTGAAAAAGTTTGTATCCCTGAAACAAAGTTTCCCCACCAGAGGGGGAGCTCACGGGTAGGAAGTAATCTGCCTTTCCCCCACAAGATGGCCCAAATCTCATGTGAAGTCTTTGACTTTTGTGTTGGCGCATCCTGGTGGACTATGTGTGAAATGCCAGAATTCATATGATGCTCAAAATCATAGTTTGCTAATATATTTGTTGTCAAAATAAAATGAACAGTCCAATTTTACTGATATGTATAAAGACTGCAAAGACTGAAAAATCTTGAAGTCTGTATGAAATTGGAGGTAGTTTGAGGATTAAATTTTTTTATGCTTTTTAAGCTCAAAAAAGGGGGGATTGTATTATACATGAGATCGTATTAAACACAAATAAATACGGTAACTGTTTCATTCTTTTTTCAGTTTGTGGAGCTGCAGTTTGTCAGAGATCGGCTGTTCTTTGCTGGGCTTAGCTCTGAAGTCCAATCCCTCCCATCTGAGAGAACTGAACTTAAGAGACAACAATCTGAAGGATTCAGGAGTGAAGCAGCTGTGTGGTTTTCTGGAGAGTCCAGAATGTAGACTACAGACTCTGAGGTCAGACATGGTTATCACCCTCTAATGAACGCAAAAGCAGAGACATTTTTCCCTTTGTGTGTGTGTGTGTGTGTGTGTG